GGAAAGAAAAAAGAAAAGAGAATAGAATAGCTTTGATATAGTGCAGGGGGAGAAAGCCAGTCTGTTGCTGAAGAGTTCTCTCAAACAACATTCACGTTCTTGGCATTTTTCTCAAAGCTTTAAAGTGGCTCAGCTCAAACACCTTCAACAAAACCCAGCAGTTTTAGATGCCTAAGGTGATGATTACTACAAGCTGGCTGTTGCTTACTTATCTAATAAATTGTATTATCTCTTATAATAGTGATTCCTGCATCTCAATTAAAACCAAAGAGTGCACCCTCCAGTACAGGCACTATGAAAAAGAAAAATCCTTATTACTCATTTTTATTTCAACTGTCAAAACCACAACAGCCAAGGGTTTTCTGTAGCCATACACACAGCCATAACACATTTGCTTGATAATTACTGCTCGAGGGATTTATGCAGAGCAGCCTTCAAGTAACTTAGTTCTCATGTTTCAATAAGCAATATTAGATACATTTTACATTTAAGAACAAAATTTTGAGACAGAATACTAGCCTGGAAGATAAATACAGGGATACAGTAAGTGAAACCACATAACAAAAGTTGTATCAGATCAGCATAAACAGTATTGCTTCTATAAAATCACATTCCTATTTTAATTCTACCAACAAACAGTAGCTGTTTTGCAAACAGGCATAACAGGTATTTACAACACTAAACACAATGAAAATTCATAGTTGCAAATAATTTCAGCATCAAGCATACATTGTGGAGAAAGAGTTTCATTAAACTCATTAAAAATCATTTAAAGACATTACTTTGAAAACTGATAAAATCTCCTGATAACATGTAGAACAATATCTCAACTATGCTCATTATCATGGGATGGGTGAGCAGGGAAGACTTTTTTTTTAACTATACAAACACATTAAAACTTTCATATTTGTATCCACCATATATAAATGCTTATTTTATCAGCTTATTAAAAGACTCTACTAAGTTTTACAGGCCCAAATTCTGTCCTTTAACTCCCACCAACCTTACTGAAGCACACAGGTGTGCACTCAAATTTGAGACTTACATTTAAACACAGCAAGAAGAGGAGCATTACTCAGTTAAGAGCATTGCAAGCCAATGAAGTAGCACTTCAGAAACAGCTTGTTACTAAAAGACTTGACAAGAGACACTGTGGAACTAAATAAATTTTCTAGAACATTGCCATTACAGTATTTCAGAATTGTATCTGTCTCATTTACCTTTGAATACCTGATGAAATCCATTAAATATTACATTATCAAGGTCGGGAGGGTGTTGCTTGTGGGTTTTTTTGTTTGCTTTCTAACAAAGCTATCATTTTATTCAAACCATTGTTCAGCTTCCACATGCAGAAAACTTAAACATGGTGATGTGGGCATTTCTAGATTAAATAGCTAAAACAGCATATACTGAAGAACAACAAACAACTTGTTTACACAATATTAACCATTCACTGTACCTGCACAGTTAAAGAGTTATATATCACCAGTATGATTGTATAGTGGTATGAATAACTAGATGCAGGTACAAAGGTGCACTGGCTTTACTGATAGAAAAGTTACACCATGTACTATGGTATGTATATTGAAAGATCATTGTCTGAAAGAGCATCAAGTGCTCTGAGACGGTAAGAAAAAATATGCAGTTCCAGAAACAAAAAACCAGCTTATGATTATTATGATTTCATTTTAGTAATGTACACTGTCCTATGCCACATGATTTACATGATCTTCTCACCCCGTAAAAGATGAATATGCTGGACATGTCACCTGCAAGACCTCAACTCAAGCTTTCTGTTCTAGAGCTGCTCTTTCAAACCCAACTGATATCTGCTTGGCCAATAGCAGTCTGCATGAAATTGTTGGATTTACAAGCTTTTGAAGCTTGCACAGATTAGATGCTGTTATTTTCTGCTGGGGAAATACAGTCCTATTCTTTTGGGGCATGCACAGAGGAAAATAAAACAGATTAATTCCATCCATGCTAGATATCATGTCTATCCTACAACTGGTGCATATGATCTTCAAATCATAAGAAATGTATCACTTGGAAAAACAAATGAACAATGAGTTCAGCTGTTACAGTTTAGACACTTCCAAAGATCTGGGCTATTAAAACTTTTTTAGTAACATTAAGTAATCAAAAGTTGGCAACTAAAAGGCAAATTATTTACAGAGGTGCAAAGCATAAATACTATCAGTGACAGCTGTGAGAAAGAATCATTACAGTCTCTTCTCCCTTTCCTACTGCTGGTCTGTTACCTTTCATACTCTCAGATTTACTTCATATATTGTTTTAGCTCTATCAGAACTAAATTTTATTTGGAAGTAGAAGCCAAGAGTCAGAAAGAAGATAAGCACTTGGGGATTTTTTTCTGCTTACACCTCAGGAGGCTGGAAGGACAAGATTCAAGAGGCAATAGAAGCATGTGTTAATAGAAAATAACTAAATAAAAAAATAATCCCTACAAAAACACCAAAGACACCAAGAATGAAATGCTCACCCTAACCCTAGTATAAGTATTTTTGGAAAAGCACTCTATGCATATAACACCTACTTAGTACTTCACAAAATTACCAATCATTTCATTTGCATCTTTTAAACTCAAAATACTATACTGAAATCTAGTAAGCTTTAAGGGCATCTCAAATTACAAATGCAAAGTGAAAAAGCAACCTGAGCTGTTGCTTCCTATCCATGACACTGGTATATTTGATTTTGCACATCTAAATCCATATGGAATCTTACCACTGATCTTTCAGAATATCCAAACAAATGGCCCCAGTGACTGAGCTAATATTAGGATGCCATATTTTGGTGATAAACCGCACCTGGAAAACAAGACAATTTAAAAAAAAACCCTGGTTATTAAATGCAGTATATTAAATAAACATTTAAAATGCACTGTTTCTAATAATATTATAGAGAAATACTAATTTAGGAAATATCAAGCTAAAAAAAACAGAACTAAGACATGTAATACCACGCATTTCAAGTTTGGAAGGTCCTTTGTTAGAGCTTTGCTTTGCCCAAAACAGACTACTGCCCATTTGAGGACACCAAGCTCATCCCTAACTGCTTTCCCATACATTACCATGTGTGCACATCCCTGCATCACACAAAGCCATTTAGGAATATCCTCCAGCAGTACCAGTGTTTCAAAATGAGCAGGTAGTCAAATACAGACTTAAATCTTCCAACACTGCAAATGCTAGTAAGTTAAATTTTAATACCGTGAAACAAATCTCTGAACTCTTTGGCATTGGATCTAACTGTTCAGCTAAATTGTGGGTAGCTACAAAAGTATTAAAAAACTTTCCTTGGTGGATGCTACTACTTCTACAAGCATTCAGTCTCATTACCCACATGCAGAAAGCTCTTCGACAAATAAAAACAACTAGCTTACAATTTACTTTTTTTTGCTGTTGAGAGGATCTAGTCTCAGCATTCATTCATTGATCATGCCCTTTTTTTTTTTAAACACACAAAAATAAAGTGTATTCACGCTCACAAAGCATTAATAAAATCAGTTTGGGTTTCCCCCCCCCCCCTTTTTTTTTAAGACAGAGAAAGTTAAAAGCAACATTTTCTTTTAGAAGTCTCAAAAGTCAAAGCTGTTCTCTGGAAGGAATATATACATGCCTTGAGAAATTTTTCCTTTATTTTCCTCAAACTCCTTTTACAGGTTCCACTTCAACTGCATTCTAGTGACTTCGACCTATCTGTTTCTCACCTCTACTTCCTCACCGCAAACTCCCAACAAACATTTTGTGTACAGCACAAATCTTTCAACTTTCGTTACTGATCTGTAAGCAAATTTGTGCAAAGAACACATTATTGTCAGGCACTACAGCAAGAGACTGTACATAAAGGACTATAATAAAAATTGGTGTAATCATGGTGTATAAATAGGCAAGACTGTAACAGCTCTGCTTTCCAGGACAGAAAATAAGAGATCATGTCAGCTGAGCCACTTATTAACTAGCTTAACTCTCTAAATCGGTTTGAAAATGTAAAAAGCCATGTAAACACAAGGTAATTTCTCACAGTCAATGATGGCTGACAATGGCTGTCAAAGCACATACTGAACAACAAATCTTTCAGATGAAAGGCAGGACTACACACAAGCAAAAAGGCCTCTAGTTCAAGACTACAGACTCTAGAATAAGTAGTAGTATGCTACAGTGCACTGAGCTTCTAACAGCTGTATATAAGCGTTGGAAATAGAAACTACCAAGCCCTAAAGCAGCAATTAAACCATGGTCCACAGACATATCTTTCAGTGTCCACGGCCTGTTTTCAGCTCTCCTTATTTTCGCTCCCACCAGAACACACGCAGATGAAAGAAATGAAACCAACAGACATTTTGTTCAGACTTCGTGTCTTTCACTCCAGCCTCAAGGAAGCCACTCAAAGAACAAGAGCCAAGGAGCTACGGAGCTACTGGCACCTTTCCCTTCCTCCTCTTTCCCAGTTCCTTCCCAGTACTGCATACCAGGGTGAAAATAACCAGAATCTAGGACACCACCTTAGTTCAAAGATGTCTTTCAGACAAACAGAAAGCCAATCAAGAAGCTGAGTCAGACAACTCAGGAGTTTGCTGATTCATGAGAAGCCACTGAAAAAGGGACTAAATCAGGGCACAGGTATATGTAGTTGCAGGTGCACATGGCTGGGGAGAACACTATTCAGATTGATCTATGTAGGAGGGAAGTGGGATCACAAATTTAAAGTGCTAGTAAAATACAATAGAGTTGAAAGGGCATTAAGTTGCAGAAAATATATGAGTGAGTCTACCATAGCTATTTCTCTTGACTTTCATCCATGTGTATGTTTTATGCATTCCTTCAGAGCTGCAGTAAGATAACTACATTTCTCTGTTGGTTCTTCAAGTCACACAGCTGTACACCTCACTCCTTAATTACTACTAGGAACTTGGTAGGTTAGACCCAAGACTACTAAATACAGCTTATGAAGCCCAAGAAATTAAAAGAATCCATTATCTATTGCACCATTTCATCAATGATACCGATGAGGAGAGAAGATAGCCATACTCTCTACATCAAGTAAAACTACCTGAAAACTGTTACTTATCTTGCCAAAAATAAATTACATAAAGGTCAACAATAAGGCACGAGCTCTTCTGTTCGACAGTCTGTACTTTAAGGAAGAATCAGTCTACTTCTGATTGGATACAGCTATGCAACCTGCATTATTTCTACCTAAAGATGACAGCTTTAATGTTTGTCCGCAGTTGACTGAAAAAAAGGAAGATGGGTACTACAAAGAAACTAGACACACAAGCAAATAACTAACAATACTCAAGAGCAACTTGACAGCCAAATTATTTTATCCAAAAAAAGTATTTACATTACCTTAGGAGGATTAAATGGATATGTTTCTGGAATTTTTATTTCTAGTTGATATCTTCCACCTGCAAAAGACAAGAATAAGTTAGAAATTAAAACAAAAGATTAGTCAAGCTTTACAGTCATGAAAGACTAAGCTTAAATTTCAAAATGGACAGATTTTCAAGTAATTCAAATTTACTCTGAAGTATTAGTACTTTTAAATTTCACATTTTTTATAAATAAATGCATATAAAGTCAATCTAAAAATCATATTTGCTTATGCAAATCAGAATCTGTATTTCTGATATTTAAAGAGTACATTCTCCTATAGTTTCTTGTTTCCAACACTGTATTTTCCATGCTCTATTTTAGTGAAATATACTAAAATATGAAGCAAATATCCCCCAGACAGATGAAACAATAGGCCACAGGAACATACAGGCTAAACATAGGCTATTACATTGAGTTGACTCTTCTCTTATTTATTCATGCCAATAAATTTTCTTCAGATTACACATCTGAAATTAACTGTATTTAATTTTAAGTTTTCTGGAACTTAAGAACATTTGACTAAGTCATTTAAGAAAAGCTCCCACACTTTTGGGAAAAGAATAAATAAATAAATGAGGTTCCAATGTTACTTCCACTCTATTCTACGTTACTGTCTGATGTAGTTACTTCTATTCCAATTCTGCAAACACTGACACATTTGTACTATTAACATAGTTTGCAGGGTTACAGCATGCAATAAAGGACAGTACAGGCTTGGTAGACAGGACCAGCTTCTGCTGCCCTTTTCTAAACACTTCAGTTTTCTCTCCCTGTTACAGTACCATTATGTATGTCTACTTCAATCATAATTTTGTTAACATTCAAGCTTTCTCCAGAAGACATAAGCATTGACAGTAATTTCAAACTCTGCCTGCCCACTGAAGACAATTTGCCAGGCAGCAGTTTAATGACAAAAAGAACAGAGTATAACAAAACTTATACACCAATTTACACATTTAATTTTTAGAGAAACTAAAAACACTTCTCACTTGCCAATTTTTTCCTTATCCTACTGCTGTTCTTTCCGAAAGAAACCTTTCCCTCTCCCTCAATATATTTTGTTACAATGTATAAAATTCCTTGCATTAAAGTTGAAGTATCTGCAATCCATTTCCTTTGGGATTTCAAGAGTGATTTACTTCTGTTGCAAATTAGTACAGAAAACCAGCTCTCAGGTAGTCTCAATATAGGCAGCAAGATTACCACACAGTAAAAAACCTCAAAAGAGTACTCTGAAGAGTTATAATCTATGGCACCTTCTTATCACATGCACATTAGCAGCTACAAACACCTCTCACTTTTAAACATAATTCAGTCTAATACACTATACCTGAAACTGGTTAATAGCAGTTTGGTATTTTACAATACTTTCTACAGCTGTTTTGTCTCACTTACTACTACAGTAACTTGAGAAGATTTAACAGAAAATACAACAGAAGAAAGGCAAATAAATCCGAAATTATAATAGTTAACGTCTAAGTTGATTGCTTGTCTGCTTACAGGACAGCACAGGCAAAATATTTTTGAAAATATGTACATCAACAACAGACCTTAAGTATGCTTCAATTTGGAAAAAAGGAAAAGCAAAACTCAGCATCAGTTTTTCCTAAGAAACAGAACAATTACACTGTTCCTGGATTTCAAAAACTCACCAATCCCTGTATGATTTTACTGCCATGCCATTTTGTAAGGTAATACAAAAATCTATCCTTGGATATTACCATTTCTTCTGCTTACCACTAAAACTTGCTTGAAAAAGACACTATTACAGCCTTCTGCATAGTGGGCCATTCAGCCACTACTTTTTCTACCTGGAATGTATAAGTCCAAAAGATTTTAAAACTGCAGGGACTAACGAGTTGGTAACATTGTTATACAATACTGTTGTAGTGCACTGAAGTCTGTGCTTAAAAACATAGGCTTGAAGACTTAAACAGAACAAATCTGGATATTAACTTCTTAATACTACATTTAAAATGCAAGTGACTAACATACTAACTTCTGCATGCCAATATTTCTGCAGTTTTTTAAATTATTTTTTAAAGCAGTATGCACATGTACGGCTTTTCCATAGCTATTTAATACTTGAGATAGTAATGGCAGATTATTCCTTCTGTA